TGTCCCTGCAGCACATTTTTGAGTGAACACTCAAATATTTTCTTACTCTTGGATTAGAGTAATAATTTAAAGTATCCCGACTAAAGGGCATATACCAAACAAAGTAATAAATATAGTCGAAGCTGGATACTTACGTTTTTATCTCTTGTAACACACTTTTTCAATCAATGTAAAAGTTTACTTCGATAGCGGGAAATCAAGTTATCGTGGACGTGCACATACACTCACAACTGCCGTCAGTGGCCGATAGATGGATACGTGCTTCATCGAATGACGCTTCGTTTGGTATAAGCGCGCGTGATTTAAACCGCGAAATCGGTCTACTATGGCGGTTGTTTCTATTGTCCCCTGTTTCAATTGTCCCCGGTCTACCCTACTTATAATTAGTTAAAATACAGAGAAAAAATGGAAGAGTTGTAATATAATACTTCATGTTTAAGTTCATATTTGAAATTGACGAATATCAATCATTTTCAGATAACCGGCATAGTTCTTATATCAGTTGGAGCATCTATAAGAGCAATATACTCTGATTACCATCTTTTTCTCAGTGGAAGCTATTTTTCTTTGCCAAATCTTCTGATAGCAACAGGATGCTTGATTTTCTGTATCTCCTTTTTGGGTTGCTATGGAGCAATGAAGCAAAGCTGGGTCATGCTTATGGGTGTAAGTATTACATTGTATACATATATTCGAAAAAAATAGAAAGTTATCAGCCTGTTTATAGAAAAAAAATATTGCCATCTATGTTTTGTTATATGGAACACTTTTTCGCAAACATAACGAATATAAAATTATCATTACAATATAAAATGAAGGTATGTATAACAAATAGGCTGCTACTTATCTTTTTCCGGCACTGGCAAACACTGACATCGATACACTCAAACTTTTTTTTTATTCCGGAAACAGATGAGTAATGATTGTCCTTTGGCATTCGTATGTTGGTGAAGAACCAAACAGGAGAATACCTAAACTGATAGTCAGGACGAAAGGAGATTGGTTGATGAAGAGAAGTATTTAATATGGCAAAATGAAGAAAACATTGGAAAGGGGGAACTGGAGAAAAGCGGGTAGAGCAAACTGAAAATTGTGTTCTCTACATTTTAAAAATGGATAATTACACTTTTTCAACTCTGCAATGCGGGTGTCACTTTGTCTGTATTTTTATTTTATACAGTGTGCAAAAGCCAAATGGAATAAATTCATTATTTCGGTTACGGTACATATTTTAACAAAATCACCTCAACACCTCAAATTTAAATTATAATTT